GGTTCCATGATATCTAAATTGTTTCTTTCTGGCTGTTTGCAGTATTTTCTCTTTGACCTGGTAATTTTGCACTTTGGCTACTATATTCCTTGGTATTTTCGATTTTGGATCTCTTTCAGGAGGTGAATGGTGGATTCTTTGTATGGCTATTTTACCCTCTGGCTCTAGGACCTCAGGGCAGTTTTCCTTTATGATTTCCTGAAAGATACTGTCCATGCCCTTTTTTTCATCCTGATTTTCAGGTAGACCAGTACTTTTTAAATTGTCCCTCCTGGATCCATTTTCCACGTCAGTTGTTTTACCAATGAGATGTTTTACATTTTCATCTTTTTTTTTCATTCTTTTGTTTTTGTTTGACTGATTCTTATTCTCTCATAGAGTCATTAGCTTCCATTTGCTGAATTCTAATTTTTAACAAATTGTTTTCTTCTATTAGGTTTTGTACCTCCTTCCCCATTTGGCCAATTATATTTTTTAGGGACTTGTTTTCTTTGGTGTACTTTTTTTTCCAGTTGACAAAATGTATTTTTTAAGGACTTGTTTTCTACAGTTAATTTTTGTCCTTCCTCTCTCTTGCATATCTCTTAGTTCTTTTCCCATTTGTTCTTCCATCTCTCTCATTTGACTTTTAAGATTCTTCTTGAGCTCTTCTAAGCTTCGAAGCTCTTCTAAGAAGGCTTTTTGGGCTTCAAACCAGTTCATATTCCCTTTTGAGGTTGCATATGTGGGTTTGTTGACAATGTTGTCCTCTTCAGAATTTCTGCCTTGATCTTCACTCTTCCCATAGTAAGAATCTATCATACATTTCTTTTTGCTTATGGTGTTTGCTTATTTCCTGGCCTTTAAAGAGACTGGGCTCTCCTGTTGGGGAGCAGAGCACACTGACCCACGCTTCTTGTGTTGGGAGCCTAGGCCCTGGTGGATGGCTTTGTGTGCTGGGGCCTCCGATGTTGGCAGTTGGAGGCTGTAGGATTCTGGCAGCTTATGTGGTGTTGGACTGAAATCAGCAACACTGGAGCTCTAGGGGTAGGATTGGGTAGTGTGGCTCCTGGAGATTTCCTGCTCACCCAGGCCTTTCCTTCCATTTGCTTTCTTCAGCTCCTTTTAGATGGGTATTGTAGGGTGTTTATCTGCCTGGGGCCCCTTAGAGTGCTGCTTCCCTTAGTAATTCTGAGGCACCTGATGGTTTTCTGAGCTGGTTTCCACTGGTTCCCCAGTCCTCAATAAGGCACTCAGGGGTCCAGGTGTTGGTGTTTGCATGCTCTACCACCTGGGTTTCAGGATCTCCTCCTGGTATGCTGAGGTGGGGCTTTCTGCTAGCTTGCTGGGACGCCTCCCATTCTATACTGCTCCCTTTCCCCTGGGATAAGAGGCCCTTTCCAGTAATCCCTCAAGCTACCTGGGCTACTGGGCTGCTGCACCCCATCTTTGTTCTGGTTCAGCTGTTCTAGGGGTTTTCTTGGGGTGATATTTTGGGGGCTTTCAGGGGTTAATAAGGGAGGGTAAGAGAGACTCACCTCTTACTCCGCCATCTTGGCTCCCTCACTATGAACTTCTTAACTGAGATGAAGAAAAGGACTTGTATAGTTATGTAAAGTACAGAATAAAATCAGCCACAAATAGAATTAATTAATTAATAGAAAGAATTAAAAATAGTATTACTTAAGAGATGGAATCAATTTGGTTTTCTCAGTGTTAAAATTGTATTTTGTTTTGATTTCCCCTGACACTCCTCTCCCATAGTATAAAGTAACAATAGTAGAAACTAAGATTGTGAAAAGGAAACCAAAAGTCACTTACAAACTGTCCCGTAAATTAAGGGAGAGTATAACAGTTATTTGAAACCAACTAAATCTGTGCTTGATTTGTAAACCTCAGGTAAACTCCAGATATATTGGGCGAGACCTGCTGAACTCCAATAAGCCTTATGCTAATGAAGTAACTATAAGGTGTGGCTGATAACTTTGACGTGACCCTGAGGTGGCATTGATGAGAGAGAAAGAGTCTAGTCCTCACCAAAACCCTATAAAAATGAGGCCCTATATAGCCTTTTTCCCCCTTTGCCAGATTCATAGTGCCAGAATGCTCTGAACTCCAGTCCGTGATTACTTAAGTGGCTCTCTGTGCCTCTTCCTCCTATCTCTGTACCATTTGCCTCTGTATTCTCTGTGCTTTATTAAAGTGTGGTTGAAGCATTACTCCCTGCTTGCAGCCATCTTGTTCTTTTCCCATCTAGTATCCAGAAAACTGGGCTTGGCTGCTCTCCACTTGACCCAGAGATTCCCTTGTGGTCTCATTCGCTTAGTCACAATAAATTCCCCAAATTAATTAGCAATTCGAGGATTGCATGTGAAACTATGAATCTCTGATGTGTTGCTAAGGGGTCCTTTAAACTTGTCTTTTTGAGTTGCTGTGTTTTCCAGAAACACTGGAGCATGCAGGAAGCCCTGAATTTATCAAGGATGAAGCTCCCCCTGAGGATACATAATTTGTTGTTGTGCCCCATGCTAGACTCTGTGTGTTTCCTTGGTTGGCAAGGCAGGAAGCAACCAGTCTGTGCAAGGCTGGGGTAATGCTTGTGCCCCTGGGGTCCTGTGCAGATAAGCAGAACCTCTTATCTTCATAGTCTAGACTCTAACAGTTCCCAAGGGATAATAAGAATGAGGCTTTTGCAATCACCTTGCTCCTCCCTGTGGGGAGTGGTCTTATCTTTTTTCACACCTTTGCTGCACAGTTCCCCCTCCCATGTTATGCCCCTTCCTGGTATCCCCTCCTCCCTTTGTCATTCTATTATAAAAATATAAACTTCTGTAAAGACTGGGAACCCTTTGGGTTCCACGTGCATATTCTTTTCTCTTTAATAAACCTGGTTTTCACATAAGTCTCATGATGTGATTGCCTGTCGACAGTGTATAGCTTACTTTTTAGAGACATATATAATAAACTTAACATTACTTTCAAAGTTGTTCTGCTTGTCAGTTTCCTTCTGATTTTCTCTTCTGTGCATTTAAGAAGTGCTACAACTGCAACTTAGAGTTTTAGAGAGTTTATGATGCAATAATACTCCACTATGTTCTTAGACTATAATTTGTTCGGCCATTCCTCATTTGCTGGCCCTGCAACGCCTTCATTTCCAGTTCTTTGCTACTACAAAAAGAAAATGTTGTACAAATGGGTCCTTTTCTTCTTTCTTTGATTTCTTTGGAGTATAAGCAGATATCACTGGGCAGATACTACATATAGCTCAGTGACTTGTTTGTTTTTTGTGAGGCAATTGGGGTTAAGTGACTTGCCCAGAGTCACATGTGTTTGAGGCCACATTTGAACTCAGGTCCTCCTGACTCCATGTTTGAATTGCTCTTCCTGTATCTCAGGAAGTTCCTAGATATCCACTGACTGGTTTAGCAAACTTCATTTATTAGGCAAGGTATTTAAGACTCACCCCTTATTGGTAAGGGTTGGGGGAGGGAAGAAAAAGAGTAGGGGCCTGGTCATGATATGATTGTGATGAGGTTCAGAGGTGTCTGGAAAGAATTAAAGAGGCAACTATTCTCCTAGTCAAGAGAGCTTTATTGCCTCAAAAGCAGCAGGCTAAGTCCTTAGGGGTGCTAGCAGCTTGAGAAGAGGCAGGGGCTTGCTTTTATACACAAGTTTTGGACACTCAGCAGGGGTGGGGGGTATGCTTCTATGTGGGCAGTTAACCACAAGGAAGAAGAAGCAGGTGTGCTGGGTATATTTCAAAACAGTTCAAAGATGTCAAAAAGCAGGGAACTTAGCTTGCAGCATTCAACGATCTGGTCACAAACCATAGAGGTTAGTCACATACAAAGTTTTGGCTAGTGTAACATGGTTTTCTATTAACAGGCAAAACCTCCTGTCGCTGGACTGATTTAGACAAAGCTCTCATTGTTGTGAGGCAGAAGTCAGCCTTATTATTTGGGCTGCCTCTGTGGTCCCTTTCTACTAAGTCACTGTGAATCTGGCCAATTATAGCCATTAACTGGTTGGTGCGGTGGGTAAGAGTTCTGAGCCTGAAGTCAAGAAGATCCAAGTTCAATTAGCTGTGTGACCAAGTCACTCTCTGTGCCTCAGTTTCCTTATCTATAAAATGATGATAATAATACCTACTTACCAGAGTTGTTATGAGGATCAAATGAAATAATATAATGCACTTTAAAAAGTGCCCAGCACACAGGAGGGGCTATAATATAAATGTAAGCTACTATCATAAGGACAGGGACCCAAGATTCTGGGCTCTCGGGCAAAGACATACATCCCACTGTATGCCAAGCCACTTCTTTGCTTGCCTGTGAGATTGAAGGGCTAGAGAACTACAGCCTGGTATGTCTTTGTTGATCTTGAGTTATTATGGTACTTCTTAGTACCTTACCTGAAATCTCGTACTTTTGGGGGTTAGTTCCAAATTACTTTCCAGAAAGACTCGACATTTACAGCCCTACTAGCAGCAGTCCATTATTGTTCCCATCTTGAAAAATTGCTGTTTTCCTTTGTTGTCAACTTTGCTATTCTAATGTGAAGTGGAACCTCAGAAAAGATTTTTTTTTTGGGTATCAAAATATTCTTCAGTATCAAGTATATACAGGACATTTTCAGAAAGGTATAGAACACTACTCCCCCCTCCATACAACTAATTTGATAATCACATTTTTTCAGGTTTGTCGTGGGATTTTTTTTTTTTTTTACATCATCTGCAGTTTTTCTTGCTTTTAATTTTTTTCACTTTTATTTGGACTCAAACTCAAAGATTGTTTTATAGGGATAGGTACTGGGCCTCTAATTTCTTGTTTGTAAGGAGTTCCTGGTGAGGAAGTTTCTTCACCAACTGCAACTTAGAAGTATTGGGAGTTGCCTGGAATGCGTAGAGGTTGTGACTTGCCCAGGATCACAGCCTGCCTTTTTTTTCTTGTGTTTTTTTTATTCTGAGTGTTTTGTCTTTTTCTCAATTCTAATCCTTTTTTTTTTTTTTTTTTTTTTTTTAGGCAACTGGGGTTAAGTGACTTGCCCAGGCTCACACAGCTAGTAAGTGTCAAGTGTTTGGTCAGAGGTCGGACTTGAACTCAGGTCCTCCTGACTTCAGGGCCGGTGCTCTATCCACTGCGCCACCTAGCTGCCCCAGTTCTAATCCTTTATGACCTCTTTTCAGCCTTTGAAACTGAGTATTATGCTCTTCTTGACACTCTCTTCTCTCTAGTTTTTTGTGACACTGTTCTTGTTCTCATACCTGGGTGATTGCTTTTTTAGTTCTTATCCAGGTCAGACTCTCTAACTGAATTCTCCCAAGACTATCCTTCTGTTTTCCGTCTATACAGTATATTATCTCATCATCAGTTCCCATAAATTCACTTATCATCTCTATGTAGATGACTCTGTGATCCAGCCCTAACCTCTCTTTTGGCTCCTAGTTTCACATCTCCTACTGCCTGTTAAACAGCTGGATGTCCTATAGACATCTGAAACTCAGTGTGTCCAAAACTGAACTTATTATCCCTCCCACTCTTCCTCTTCCTAACTTCCCCGTCCTCCCAATCACCCAGGGCTGCACCCTAGGTGCCATCATCAGTTCACTTTCTGTCACCCCACATGTCCAATCAGTTGTCAAGTCCTGTCATTTCTACCTTCGTAACATCTCTTGTATATACCCCTTTCTCTCATCTGATACTTCCACTACCCTGGTGCAGGCAGGCCTTCATCACCTCACACCTAGACTATTGCAGTAATTTAATTAGTTGGTCTTCCTGCCCGTTTCAGTCTATTGTTTATTGAACTGTCCTATTTATCTTTCCAAAATGCAAGTCTGGCCATACCATCCCTATTCCCACCCTCACCTGCAGTTAAGAGAGGTAGCTAAGGATGTTGAAGAGATTTTGAGGGGGCTGCTAGGTGGGGCAGTGAGCACCAGCCCAGGAGTCAGGAGGACCCGAGTTCAAATGTGGCCTCAGAAACAACATGTAGTAGCTATATGACCCTGGGCAAGTCACTTAAGCCCATTGCCTAGCAACCTCCCCCCCCCCCAAAAAAAAACCATTTTGAGTAGCAAAGTTGAAACAATCTCCATGATGTGTGTTACATAAAGATACTTGATTCTAGGAGAGTTTGTTTCCAATATAGGAGACAACACAGATAATGGAGACAATTTTTATGAAGAATGGTAAGAAGCTGGCATGTTCAGAGGGGATGAATATATAATGTCCCCAAAATATTAATACTGTAATCTTTATTATAAATACAAGTCTGCCAGAAACAGTTTAAAAAATTATCATTATTCTAAATCCAAGCATTCAATGGGGGTGGGGAGTGGGGGGAGGAAGTGTTCAAACTGACAGTCCCCTTATGTTCTTGGATATCTCTCTAAACTGAAGATATTTTGAAATAACATAGGAATCTTAAACAAGAAAAATTTCACAATATGATAAAACTTAGTTAATACAGTTTAAGGTTAATGTTTAAATAGGACAGTAGTTATTTAACCTTTTCAGAGCATCCTTTGAGACTCATTCTTTTAAAACTAATGATTCCTTTTTGACAACTACCCTAAAGGACTCTTCCCCAGATGGTCACTGGTGACATGAAATAATCAAAGAGACTCCACCCTTTGATCAATATCCCAATCCTTTCAGTAAATGGAGAAGAGTGTATTGATTAGTTATCATTACCCCAATCTCCTCTGGAGATGGAAAAGGCAGTGATCTTTTCAAAGTATTTCTCCTTTTAAGTCTTTTTACGTTTTCAGAGACCTTAGTTATCCTAGAAATAAATTGGGCAAAAGAGAATGGGGGGGAAGGATTTTAATATACTTCCACATAAGGCTAAAAAGAAAAGTTTTGAGAGAAATTGGAAATGACTGTGAATGGCGAACACAGATGTCTATCAAATTTATAAAAATTTATCAGATTTTTGAGGTGGTGGAGAACCACAAGAATTGGAGCAGGGGTTTAGAACTGTTTTAGGAAAATGACTTGATTGCATGGAAGACAAATTGGGGGTGGGGGTGGGTAGGGAGAGACTTGAGGCAAGGAGACCAAATTAGGAATTTGTTATAATAGTCCAGATAGGAGGTGGTAAGGGACTGAAGCAGGTCGGTGGCCGCATGAAGACAGTGAAGGGAACACATGCAAGAGATAGTTTGGAGGCAGAATTGACAAGACTTGGCTACTGATAGGCTGGACAGTGACAAATTGAGAATGAATGAATAAAAAAGCCTTTATTAAACCCTTACTATATGTAGAAGCTAAGTATTAGAAATAAAATATTAATTATCAATCCTACTTTCAAGGAGTTCGCATTCTATTTTAATTTAGAGAGAGAATGTAAGAGGCTTTTTTTCTAGCTTTTTCTACTTTCACTTAACCACTCCTTTAATTGGGATAGGTACGGTTGTTTAGGAACTCACTGTCAGTTTAAGTTTTCTGCAATTTAGAGTTTGAGAGTTTGCCTGGAGCAGTGAAAGGTTAAGACCTCCTAGCTTCAAGGGGGCATCTCTATCCATATTAACTACGTCACACTGCCCCTCACCTTTTTTCATATTTTGCAGAATCTTGCCAGTATTCAAAATCAAGCTTTGCACACGCCCTTCTCATTTCTGAAAATCCTTCTTTGAGATCTGAGAGAAGTCACTCCATGTTTATTCAGTTCCTTTGTACCCAGTAGCTGATTTAAGCCAGCATTATTTTAGCAAACAACTTCTAATCTAGGTATTTGAAGTATGTAAGACTCTCTTGATCATAATCAGTTTAGTAAACTACTGATCACAGTCCCTTTGTGACTGATGAAGGGGAAGGAGGATCTAGTCTAGCAGTGGACTGAAGGGCTGGAGAATAGTATGCTTCCATGTCTGTGAGTAATAAATTGCTTAACTTGTAAACCTTGGGCCTTTGTATTTCTCACCACACATTCACCAGTTATATCAGTTATCACAAATTTTTTCTGTAAATACTTGAGGATAAGGCTTTCATCTTTGCCTGTAGACGTGGATTCATCCAGGACAGCTAAACACTCATATTATCTCCCTACTGCAACTTAAGTAAGATAAGAAAATCATACATTTGTAATTAGAAATACAGAATTAAAATGACTGGTTTTTAAACTTATTTATTTTAATTTTGTAGGAAGGCTATAAATCATGTCACATTCTAAGAGCAGTAAGAAAAGATCCATACGAGAACACAGCTTTTTATTTTTTGTCTCTAAGAAATATAATTTTAAAACCCCACTAGAAAGTGTACCATTCTCAGTACAATCAAAACTTAGGTAAAATGAGAGAATACAAATTAAGAAAATTGAAATCCACTTCAAAAACAACAAAACATATTTGCAAAAATACAGGAAGAGGGTGGAAACTAGTTACGTTATTTCAGAACTTGTAGGTAAACATCAAAAATGTGTTAGTGAAAGGTATTACAATTTTTGTACAAATATATATGTTGGAATTCTTTGCCGCCCAAAAGTTAAAACTTCAGAATATTTCATTATCGTGAACACTGTTGCTGGGAAAAATTAATGAAATTGCAGCTGGTGTTAAGGGCAACTTAAGTCAAAGGTGGAAAATTGTTAGACATTTTCAGTTGAAGTCAATGAAAGTACATTACTGCAGTACAGCTTAAGTAGTTTGTATTTATTTGCACATGTGAGTGAAGAATTGCTTTATAATTCTTTTTATTAATAGTGAAGATGTTTTTAAGGAATTACGTGGATTTGGAGAAGAAAGTACAGTTAGTTATCCCTTTCACATCAAGACTTTCCCCATTGCTGTTTCGATATATCATGGATTGGCATGAGAAATTAAATGGGAATTTTGGGGGGAGTTTTGTGGAAGCTGCAGACTTCATGCAAAGGTCAGCAGACAACATGGAAAAACTCAGAAATGCATACATATTGGTGTAGTATTGTATAATAGCAATATATTTTGTCTTTTAATACCATAATAAGGGCCAAAAAGTTTTATGCTGACTTTTTTTTTCTAAGATCGCAGGGGCACAGCGCCCCCCTAATCCCCTCAATGTGGAAGGTACAACTATACTGTAGAGTAATACATTTTTATAATAATAATAATAATAACTACAATACATATATAATAATGTGTGTTATATACATATATAATAATAACTATATTGTATGATAATGGAATATTCCATTATCAAAATGACTGTGTGTGACTATGGTGCAACAGCAAGCACAGGAAAGACAAATGAATTTGTAGTTAAATTATTGGCTAGGCAGAATGAAGTTGCTATTGATAGTAAATTTTGTTGTGTTAACTACATTATATACCAGGAAGTTATGTGTTGAAAAGTAGTGAAAATGGAACATGTGCTGGAGTTTACGGAAACAGTTAATTTTTTGCATTGTTGAGGATTGAATTAATGACAATTTACTTTATACTCTTGGAAATTGAAAATGAGTAGGAAAGTTTACTTTATTACACAGAGGTTCATTGGCTTTCCTGTCATGGTTTTGAAGTGATTTTGGCAACTTTACCATGAAATCACAATTTTTTTTTTACAAATAGAAGGAGTTACCAGAACAGCTTAATAATAGGAAATTAAGAAATGGTTCCAGGATTTGGCTTTTATTGTAGATATTATGAGATGTTTAAATGAATTGAATTTAAAACATCGGGGTTGAAATTAGATTGTAACATTTATATAATACTGTATTAAAGCATTTAAGAAAACTTGGTGTTTGGAAAAGGCAACTAACAAAAAATTGTGATCTGACATTTTCCTACACAAGTATGCCTCAGCTATTCAGGAATTAATATTTGAGTATGAAAGGTAATTTCATTCAAAATGTGTGAAACCTTTTTTCTACTCAGCACTGCATTTTCTTTTGATGTTGAGAAAGTGAAAAGTAACATTCACAAAAACTTAATGAAATTTAATTTAACAGTGCTAAAAGCGTACTGAAGCTAATGTTCCAGATTTTTATTTTTACTTGCTAAGACATTTTGTTGAAATGGGTGCTTATTTTCTGTATGAATCTTAGCAGTGTTATTTTCATGCCTGTAGACAATTAAGACTTCA